AATCTTTTATCTTTTTATTTATTTTTAAAATCTTTTATCTTTTTAGGCTAGACATGATGGTGCACGCTATAACCACAGCATTTGGGAAATTAAAGCAGGAGGATCACTGCAAGTTCAAGGCCAGTTTGGCATCGCCTACAAAGTGAATTCAAGGCCAGCCTGAACTGCATAGTAAATTCCTACCTCAAAAAGAAAAGGAAAAAACCTTTTATCTTTTTGGCAACAGCATTGATATTTTGTTTTATTTCAGCTTTCTCTTTGTATTTACTGGATCTGGGCCTGCAGTCTGGAGTTCAGTCTGCTGTTATGTGTGGGTATGTACACCATGGCCTCTGTGAACTGACACAGGTGTTTTTAATTTTTTTTTCTTTTTTGGTACTGGGGATCCAACTCATGACCTCTCGTTTGCCAGGCAGGTGCTTATGCTGCTGAGCTAAATCGCTGGCCCTTAAATTTGTAGTTTGTTTTTAAGTTGCGTTGTTTAAGCAGGAGGATCGATACCAGATCAAGGTCAGCTTTTGCTACAAAGTGAGTTCAAGGCCAGTCTGAACTGCACAGCAAACCCTGTCTCAAAAAGTAAAAAGAAGTATTTCTTCTAATCTCACAGGTGGGGGATGCTGGAGCCACCTTAGGCAGAGAAAACTGAAGTGAATTGGTTCAGGCACCAGTTTCTCGGCTGAGCAGGGTCCCTCCTGACAGTTTCTCAAGTTCAGAGTTGATTATTATTTTTTTTTTTTACTAAAGACTGAGTGCTCCAATACAGTTGATTATTATAAACAGAGATTGATAGGCAGACAGCCAGGCTGGTGAAACCTAACTGTAATTGCAAGCACTCTGGGGGCTGAGACAGAAGGAATTTGAGGCCAACTTGCGGTACATAGTGAATTCAAGACCAGCCTGGCCCTGTCTCAAAAAAGTAACCAGACCCTGTGTCAAAAAAACCAAAATGGAACCAAACCAAAACAACCCAAAAAACAGGGAAAGCCACAGATGAGGTAAGACAAGTATCTGTCTAGGGGCTACCATAGCACTTTTTCATGTTAACCAAAGAGACCCCTTGCCACATTTCTGCTATCTTGGTTTGGTTGTCTTTTTGTTTTTGTTTTTTAATTGGTACCGGAGATCGAACTCACGACTGCCTGCTTGAAAGGCAGGTGCTAATGCCACTAAGCTACAGAGTTACACCAGTGAGTCTGAAGAGGGAAGGGGCATCAGAGTATGCAGGGGAGAGGCTGTAAGGGGGGTACCTGGTGAGGGAGACTGGAGGCAGAACTGAGACCCGAGGGTGGCTGAAAGCCAGGCAGGTAAAAGAAGCCCTACACGTAAAGACTGCTCTCCATTGTGCTGGATAAATCTGTGGAAGTCAGGAAGACTGGATGTCACATGTGCTGTGTTTAGATTATTATCTATTAAACTGTCTTACAGAAGAAAATCCATTTTTTGTTTTGATGACTCCCCTCCTGGACAGAGAGGGTTTTTAAGGTGATGAAATGGAGGTGAGTCTTCAGGGACCAGAGGCTGAGTTGGAGGCCCATGGTGCAATGGGTGAGAGCCTACGTGGCCAGAGGAGAGAACAACAGGGACAGCATCCTGTGTCTCATCCCATGTCTCTGAGTAGCCTCACTGTGGCTACCAGCGGGACACTGGTGCCCCACATATCCTGTGAGGCCAGGCCAGTGGCCAGTTCCCCATGCTGGGCAGGAACGACACCTAGCACCAGGATTTTCAGAGGACCACAGCAAGGTCTCCAGGAGGAGATGGCAGACTCCAACTCAGGATGGCTTCCTGGACCGGGAGGATGGCTGCCTGGACCTGGAGTCCCAATGGCTGGCATATGTGTGGAAGGATGACAAGCAAGGTGTCTCAGGGATCAGTTGATTGCCAAAGGTCTCTTTGGCTTTGCCACCAAAGGTCAGGTAGATTTAAGACCCAGAGGTGACCAATTGAGGCAGAAGGATTTATTAGCAGGACAAAGACAGCAGCTTGTGGAGCAGGGGCCCAATGTAGAAACTATAGCCCACTCCCAAGGGGGCGGGGGGCAGCTTTTAAGCCTGGAGCTGGGGACAGTTTGTACTGGAATGAGGAATTCAGCTGGCTTTAAATCTAGATTAGAGGTGAAGCTGCCGAGAGAGGGGCTTTAATCCAACATGCACTATTAGCTTGGTTTAATAGTGGGCTTTTTGTGGTTGTCTCACTATGTAGGCCTGGCTGTCCTTGAGCTCACAAAGGCCCTTCTGCCTCAGCCTCCAGAATGCGAACCCTGTGCTCCCACTGCAATGGCAAGTACACCCAGGATTTGAGGCAGATTTATTTGTAACAATGGGCACTGATCCGGATTACTCCCAAAATATTAGGCCATGCTCTCTGATGGTCTAGGGCTTATATGGAATAAGCAGGTGGGAAGTACAGAGGCAGAGTATTTGTTGGTTGGGGATTGGTTTATACAGTGTGCTTCAGAGTAACCAGCTGTTTGTAAGACAGAAGCAAATAGAGCTCCAACAGGAGCTATTACTTGGGTAACCAAGGAACTGAAATATATTGGCGGGTGGAGGATGTCATCTTGTATGACACCACAGTGAGGAAACACCCCTATTTCTCTAGCAGTTGGGGTTTTACTGCAGAAGAACATGCAGCAATCTAGAGTCAGATCTGCAATGCTACTTCTGTACAGTGCCATCAGTCATGGACAATAAACTGTAGCCTCCTCCCTGGCTCCTGACTTGGCTTGTGTCCACTGAGCCCGAGCCCCAGATGCTCTGTCCCAACATCGATGGACTGTAGGAAGTCCCTGGAGAGGGGCAGAGGGCAGGGCCATTTTAATTCTGCCAGAGCGAAGCCAGGTGTGGCGGCACATTCCTGAAATCCCAGCACTTGGGAGGCAGAGGTAAGGAGGATCCTTAGTTGAGGTCAGCGTGGGCTACAAAGTGAGTTCAAGGACAACCTGAATGCATAGTGAGATCCTACTCAAAAAGGCTAATCAATCAATCAATCAATCAATCCTTTGCCAAACCTGAGGACTTTTTGTTGTTTTCTTCTAGGACTTCAGGAGATGCATACCTAACATACGTGGTCTCAACAGAGGCTCCGAGAGGGTGGCTCAATGCAGCATGTGCTTAGCTTGCCTGCAGCAGGCCTGGGCTCTGTCCCCAGCTCCACACTGAGGCTTCTATAAGAAAACTCTGAGACCTGCGCCAACCAGTCCAGCAGGACAGATGACACCCTTGTGCAGTCAGCCCCCAGTGGACCACACTTGGTTCCTTATTTTTTGTCCCCAGTCCAATCACTGAAAGCCACAGGAAGCCTCCCGACTCCCAGGGGCGCCACCTCTCCTAAGCCTCTCTTCTCTACCCTGACACCCCCCCCCACTTCAACCTGGAGCCCATGCAGAAAGTGAATGGCAGTCCTGGGGCGGCCCTACTGGCCACAGCCTTGAACTGACAATGTCGGGTCTCCTGTTATTTTTGCCTGTCCCCACTAGGGAGAGTTCTGGCCTCATATACAGTGCAGGAGCCCTCCTGGGCTGTGAGGAGAGGGTCCGGCCTCAGCCTTGTCTCTGAGGACACGCAGCTGTCCTGGCACCAAGTGTGGACTATTTTTCCTCCACCAGGCTGTCTTGGCAGCCTACTCTGTTTTTCAAGAGCTATAAACTTGTTAAGACCCAAAGGTGACAGAAGAAAGTGCCTGCCCAGCTGGGAGCCATGCCAGGGCCCGGCCCCTACCCCCTGGAGTGGCTGTCCTCTGACCTGCCAGCTCCGCCTCCCCCTCTGCTCTCCCTGAGGGTGGGAGGGGAGCTGGGTCTAAGCCCTCCCCTGTGGCTTGGAAGGTCCTTACCACCCCAGGGTCCCTCTCACCCCAGGCCAAACCAGCTGGCTAAACCAGACTGGATGGTCTCCAGGGCTCAGGGAAGTGCCTGGTGGCCAGTGCGTGAGATTCCTCCTCTGCACCCTGTGGGAGCTGCTTCTGGAATGCAGGGCCCATGCTGCTTCTGGACTGAGCAGGAAGCCGCTCTTCCGCAACCTGCTAGCCCCGAGTTGGGTTTCTGACCTGTCCACCTCGGTCCACCCCAGTGCTCCTGGCCATGTTGCCAATCCCTGCTACCTGCCCACTACAGACAGTCCATCAGACCGTGGCTACCCTGAGCTGGGACGGCTTGGCTGGACTGCCAAGTGGACCTGGGCCGATTAGCCAGAAATGCAGTAAGGGAGGAGCAGCTCTTACTGGACTCAGATCCAAGCCCAACTCTTATAACCTGGGGAAACTTGAGCACCAAGTAGATACTTGAGGAAGGGAAAAATACACCATTACGGTTGGCTTTTAACCTGTAAATAATTACTACTGCAGGTATAATAATTTTGGTTTAAGGTATATACATGTACATATTTCTTAACGTTTTGGTGGTGCTGGGGAAGGAACCCAGGGCCTCGGGTATGCTGGACAAGTGCTCTGCACTGAGCCACATGCCTGAAGTGTGTGGAGGCCAGGAAGGAATCCAGGGGCCCCCGCCCACCCTGTCCCCCCAGGCCTGGAGATGGGCTCTTGCTGAGTTGGTCAGGCTGGGCTGGAATTCTCCATCCTGCTGCTTCAGGCTCCCCAAGCAGTACATTTAAGTATTTATATATAAATAACAGGAGGGCTGACATTTGCTTCCAGCTCCCAGAGTCTGCAGTCCCAGGGTCCGGCCAGGCAGCACTGGCCGGACCCACAGCAGGGGACTGACTCAGGGCACCCCTGATAGCTGGACAAGGAGTCCAGTGAGACCAGCCTGACCCCGGGACTCACAGAGCTTGCTGGGAGGGGTCGCACTATGGAACCAGAGCTCTCCATACCCTGCCCTTATCCCTTCTCTCCCTTCTGCACTGGGGAAGCCACTGGCCATTCCTTTGTCCACAGGCTGTCTAAAAGGTGTGATCACAGCTCCTTCCCCTGGCCTGAGGGTGCAGAGGGGTCCCCATTGCCCATGTGCCACAAGGCAGCCAATGGTGTGGAAGAGCAGACTTGGCGCAGGTCACCCAGGTCACTCCTTTATTGGACCCATGCATAGCTGCAGGCCAACAGGGAGATGGGCTGCTTTGGTGGCGGTTCTGGCTGTTATGTGCTCTTGTGGGGTGACCACAGTCCTGGGGGACACACCATAGCCCATTGCTGCCTGTGGCCGTTTTCCCAGGGAGCTGGGGAGCAGAGGCTGCAGGCATCTGAGGGCCCTGGGCACCAGCTGGTTGGACAGCAGCAGGCTGTGGGCACTGAGGTTTTGTCAGGCAAAGCGAATTATTCAAGCATCTGGGGCTGCACCCGCAAGGGGTATGGGGGGACCTGCCATCCTGGCACTGGCTGGTGATCTGTCACATGTCCCTTCTCACAGGAGCAGGGCTTGCGGGAGGCACTACCACTGAGGGTACTAAAGCTGTGGTCCCTCTTGTCAGAGTAAAGTGCATGTGTTCACGAGTATGGCGGGCAGCTACAGGGTCCCAGCCCCACCCTGCTGTCCAGGGCCTTGCTCAGTGGAGGCTGCAGGAAGATGCTGCTGCTTCTGGAGCAAACCTCAGCCAGAGCAGGGCACAGGTCATCCCGCCCCTCCCTGCTCTGCAGTGACTGCCTGTTGGGAAGAGGGAGTCGGGCGGGGAGGATAGGAAGCCATCCTGAGGGACGACGCTCTTGCCCTCTTCCTGAGTGAACTGTCAGTGGGGAGGGACAAGGCCAGGCAAATGCCCAGTGGGGAGCAGAGGGGCCAGCAGGGACCCAGGGAGGAAAGGAACTTGGTGGGCACTCCATGGGCCCAGACCAGGAAGGTGGGGGGGCCGCACCCTTCCACCGATCTGGGGCCTGATGCTGAGGCCTCAGGTGGGCACCTTGAGGCCGAAGTGTTTCCGCAGCTGCTCCAGAAACACGAAGGTGAGCACAGTGTGTGGAATCAGACGAATGCCAGCAGGAAAGAGTCCCTGGGCAAAGAACAGGAGAGGGAGATGTGAAGGGCCCAGAGGGGCACTGCCGGCCACTCCCTCCCCCAGCCCCTGCTGCCCAACTATACCTTATAAAAGGCCAATGGTCCCAGCTTGGCGGTCTCCACAGCGCAGTGAAAAACCCCCTGAAGGAGACAGAGTAAAGAGATGCAGGAAGTGGCTTCTCACTAACGGGGACACACAGGCACCCGTTCTCTGGTATCCACTAGGTACATGGCCCCAAAGGCTCCCAGGGGTACTGAGTGTGAGTGGAAGCCCTGAGGACATCAACAAGGGACCCCAGAACTGAGGGCCACCCCACCAGCAGACAACCAAGCAGGCCTTTGATGGTGCACCCATAGGGCTGGGGTGCTGAGGATGGAACTGTGACAGTCACTGCCAAGAGAGGATCACAGGGACACTGTGGTAACAGTGAGGAGCCCAAGGCCAGACAGTGCAGGGGTTGCATTCCTCTGGCCCAGGTGATTTCCACCAAGCACTTCTGTCATGTGCAAAGGAAATTAGCTTTGCTTATTTTTGGTTTTCTGTGTTGTTCAGGCTGGCCTTGAACTCGTGGCGATCCTCCAGGCTTGGCCTCCCGAGTTCTAGGATTACAGCCATGTGCCACCACTCCAGGCAGGAAATGGGGCTTAAAGCAAGGCATAGGCTTGGAAAGGCACAACCCTCTCAGCCAACGGCTCCCCAGAGGAGTGCAACTGGAAGGGAATAGTGGGAGACAACTCCATCCCTGTATCCCCACAGCCCCATGGGGACTGCCACTGTCTTCAGGATGAGGATGCAAGGGTTCCGGGCGAGGCAGTGGCCAGCAGGGTGCCAGCATGGCCTCACCTGGTACTCGCCTTTGGAGTTCATCAAACGGGTCTTCAGCACATCCAGGGGCTGGCACAGGAAAGTGGCACAGCCACCCTAGGGAGAGGCCGGGTCACAGGGGGCCTGTGGGCACCTCCCAGCACCCCCACTTGTGGCCCAGCCCAAAGAGCCGGAGCTCACAGCCCCACTCCCACTCAGAGGTGTCCTGAGTGTGGAGGCCTGGGCCTCAGGGAGAAGGGACACCAGGAAGTAGTGGGCCTGGGTGGACACAGGGTCCACTTCTGTGGCCCCTGAGGGGTGCTACCAGCCTCTCACCCCCTCACAGCCACACCTCCCCCCAGGCACTCTTGGCCACCAAGGCCAGGCACTCACTGCAATGAAGCTGGCGACCAAGTGAGTGAAGATGTTGTCAGACAGGTACCCCGTGCTGAGGACCAGCTGCTTGGCCTGATCGTAGCATGACAGCTGCGGGTAGACAGGACAGCTCCAGGGAAGCAGGCAGAGGCTTACATTGACACTACCCAGCAGTGACCAAGCATCTGTCCTCTATCACCACCACACCCATGCATAGGTAAGTCCAGAGGCCCAGACACAGGCCAGGACCTGGCCAAGGTCAGACACACACTGTGGCCCTGACCCACCTGTGCCTACTCCAACAGATAGCAGGTGGCTCCCATACCCACTGCTTCACTATTGGTGTCCTGCCCTGTGCAGAAGCCCTACCTGGCCCACGGTGACAAGGGCCCCGCGGCTGGATGCCATGGTTGCACCAGAGAATAACCTCCTCAGGCCCTCTGCAGGAAGAAAGGGGAAGTTGGGCTTCCAGCCCAGCCCCCTTAGTGGGGAAGGGGAGCTCCCATGCAAAGTGCCAGCTTCTCTCACCTTCACGGGCCACGCGGTACAGGCCATCCAGGGCATGGGCATAGCTGCCAGGGACAAAGAATGGGCCATATGAGGCACATCCTGTCCACCAGTTCCCAAGGATCCACCCTCATCACAGGGACAGTGGCCTCAGGACCTACACACCCCTCCCTGGGCACACATTTGGGTTTTGGCCCCCTAGGGGCTGCCAGCTTAGGCTGGTCCTGTCTGCAGGCAAAACCTAGGCCACTCTTTTTCCCACAAAGCACCAGGAGGAGGAGACACTACCCAGTGAGACAGAAGTCTGAAGAAGCTGCAGGAAGAAACCACAAACTGCCTGCCCAAAGGAGAGGATGAATTGGCTTAGGTATGGTCACAGAGAACACGGCTATGGCAGGGCAGGGCTGTCCTGCCACTCCCCTGCGGGCACCCTGGCACTGAGTGGAGAGCGCCTATCTTGCTGTGGCATAACTTATCTCATGCATCCCACTCAGTCCCTGAGGCTCCCCCCACACTCAAACCACATGAGAAACAGGCCCAGGCCCATCCTAGGTGGTGCATTTCCAGCCCCCAGTCTGTCCGGAGGGACCCAGGGAGACACTCTAGTGACTCCAGGGCAGCTATTCACAGCATCTGTTCCTGAAAACCATGGGTCTCCCCACCCCCTTTCCACTTGAGCCCAATGGTAGCACAGTCTGTCATATCCAAGCAGAGCCACCTGGGGGTCCCCCCTACCCAAATCCCAGTCTGGCCTGCTGCTCACTTGCGCCGCTGATTCACAGGCAGCTTCATGTCATTCTGCATCCTGAAACAGAGGGGCAGCTGCTGGACACATGCCATGTCCGCACCTGACAGCAGTGGGGAAGCTCACAGAGTTGGCCTGTTCAAGGTCAGACACACTGCAGCCCACCATCCCTGCCCTGTCTGCAGCTCAGACAGACCTCAGCCTTGGGACAGGGGTACACACAAACCTGACATTGACCAAGTCTGCAGGGGTGCCCACAAAGCCTCCAGTTAAACCTGTGATGACAAAAGTGCCAGACTCAGATGACTCTCTATGCCCGGCCGCTGGCCCAGCCCTTCATTTCCTGCCCAGCACTTACCGCTGATGCCTCCTAACAGCACCTTGCTGTAAAAGGGAACAGGCCCTGAGCTGCCCTTGGTCAGGTGGTCCCGCACGGTCTCATAGATAGCAAATCGGGTCAGGGAATAGGTCATCTGGGGAGAAGGGACTGGACTCAGCAACAGGCACACCCTTCCCGGGCTCACGGCACCATTGCCAATTGCCCTGTGGAACAGGGGCGCATGGAGGGGCTGCCCAGGGCCACATGGCTAGCAAGCGGCTGGGCCAACTCCCAAGCCCAGGCTGCCTGGTCCTTTTTCTCTCACCTCTCCCAACCTCAGCTTCCCCATCTGTAAGTGGAGGTTTTAGGCCCAGCTGTAATACAGCTGGCATTGTGAAGCTGTCCCAACCTAGCCTGGGGTTCCCGGGTCTGCAGGAAGGAAAAGGAGGAAAATGCTTAAGTCTTTGGGGTGCTCAGTGTAGGCCAGGGGTTGCTCTCCATAGCACAGGGCTCTCAGATAGCCTATTTCTTTTTTGTCTTTTTCCTTTTTTATCGGTACCCGGGATCGAACTCATGACTGCCTGCTTGCAAGGCAGGCGCTTATGCTGCTGAGCTAAATCCCCAGCCTCAGATAGCCTATTTCAAGGCAGGAAAAGGGGCCCAGCAGGGAGTCCAAGGCTACAGCACACCTGTCTGCACAGTGAGGCGCTCAGGCCATTGTAGAGAGCCAGGATGCCGTCGGTGCGCACCACCTGCAGCGCCATGCCGGTCATTCGCAGCTTTACTTCCTGCTGTGTTTGTAGATGCACCTGCAGCCGGAGGAGTTGCTTTTGCACAGATCTGGCCCCTACCTCCCAGGTCCCAGGCTAGCAAAGACTAGGAGGTAGTGCAGATGCTGCCTGGAGCCCTCATGCTCTCTGTTGAAGATTCCCCAGAACCGGTTGAGTTGAGGCCCTACAATCACCTGTAGGCTCAGGGTCCCCTGTAAATAGGAACACTGACGTGATGTCATGAAAGGCTCCTCAGGGCCCCTGGCTGGGGACTCTGTGTCCAGCCTGGGATCTGTTCCCACTCTGGTTTTGTAACAGTGATAATCCCTGCTCACTGCCTTACCCCTACTTTCTCCCTGGCAACCCATGTGGAAGAGGGGGACAGGGGACAGCAGAGGTCACAGGCATACAGCCAGGCCCAGATCCAAGCCCGATGCCTGGCACAATCCCAAGGAAGCTGTCCCCAGTTGAACAAGGCCCCCTATGTGCACAGTCCCCCTCATGCTCCCGGGGGAGATAGTGGCCTGGGACAATAGAGATGGGTGGGGACCCACTATGTGAGCTGGGCAGAACAGAGATGTGGAGCCCTAGGCCATAGTAGGCACATGGGCAGCAGCCCCTGATAGGTTCTGCTAGCCTGGGGCTTAGCTATATAACATGACATCCAACATCCGCCCAACTTCGTACAGGATCCAGAGAAACAACTCTCTCCAAGACTAACTTCTTCTTCTTCTTTTTTTTTATTGGTACCAGGGATCGAACTCATGGCAGGAACTTATGCCGCTGAGCTAAATCCCCAGCCCCTCTTCAAGACTAACTTCTACATTCTCCTTCTCATTGCAGAGGTAAATCTCCTGCTCCCTTTTTGCATGTGTGCCAAGCCCTTTCCAATCCCAAGACTCCACAACCCCCCAAGCCTCCACCCCCAGCCCCCAGTAAATCTGTCTCCTGTTTTACAGGCAGATGCTCCTTCAAACCAGCTGTTAATATGTCATTTTGCACACCTCCCAAACTCCTCCCCAGCCAGAACTGATAAAAGTAGTCCCATTTCTTTGTTCTTGCTGAAAGCTGCTGCACCCCCATAAAGCTCTCCCATGCCCTCATTAAAGGCCTCTTCTTACTTTGTCTCCTCTCTCTCCTGCACAGCTTTGGATTGAGTGCCAAAAATACTCAATCAGCCCCCGTCCTCATGAGGAGTGACCATGAGGACTAAGTTGGGACATGGGGCCACTGGGGAAGATTGAAGAGCTTCAAAACAAATCTTTGTTTTCTTTGGTTCCAGCTGGGGATCGAACTCACAACCTCTCACTTGCCAAGGAGGCACTTATGCCAGACCTAAATCCCCAGGCCCCAAAACAAGTTGTTAAAAGTTCAAGGCCCTGGTGAGCAGTCCTTAGAGAAAAATCTCTGACCAGTCTTCCCTGAGGCTGAGCACTGTCCACCCAACAGCGAGGACACCCCAGGATGGCCACTTCCCTGACCACTGTTCCAGCAGTGTTGTACAGCAAGACAGCATGGGTGGGGCAGTAATGCCCAAAGGAGCCCAGATTACATCCTGAGGGTCCAGTGGGAGGCTCCAGGGCCCCCACTGGTTTAGAGACCACAGCTGGCAAAGGGGCCAGAAGAGTTACCAAAAACAACCCAGCCCTTTCCCCAGTCCCAGCCACTGTCCTGCTGTGACTCCGAGGCCTCTTTGGTGGCAGAGCTGCCTCTTGCCGCTCTGATGCACATGAGCAGGTCTTCCCAGGGGACAGGCAAGGTCCTGCCCCCACGTGCACCTGGGGGCCAGTGCTTTTACCAATTAGAAAAGCTACCCCTTTAAAAAATAGAAGTCCCGGGGCTGGGGATTTAGCTCAGTGGTATAAGCGCCTGCCTTGCAAGCCGGCAGTCGTGAGTTCGATCCCTGGTACCAATAAAAATGAAAAAAAAAAAAAAAAAAATAGAAGTCCCAGGACAAGGTCCTAAAGCTGGCTCAATAGCTCTGGCAACTGTGCTATCCCCAGACTCAGGGTCAGGGATGTGGAGGAGTGTATAGACCAGCTGAGCCCTGCCCACAGGCCACCCCATGACCATAGGGCACGCCCCCTAGCAGACTGAGTAGCCTCAGGTCCTTTCTTCTTTGTTCTCTGTAAGGCAGGGTCAGAAAACCATGTTCCTTGGCCCTTGGTGCCCTCAGGAACAAGGAGAGCTCTGTTTTATTTTGCCCCATACACACTTTTCTCAAAGAGATGAAGTCAAAAATAAATGTATGCTTGCCTGGGGTGGCATTCATGACGAGTCAGACCCCTCCTGGCGTCCACTCCCACTCCAGCAGTGGTGGAGCAGGATGCAGAGGCCAGGCCTTCATTTCCTCCCATCTCTGCACCTGTCCTGGGCATCCACCAGCATGCAGGTTCCCTAGGAACCAACAGCTGTGTAGCCCCACAGACACACCATCACCCTTTAACCAGGCAGCGAGGGCCGTGTAATATTGGGGGAGGAGAAACTGTTCAAAAGAGGGCAGCGCTGAGGCCACATCTGCCAAGAGCCGGGGAGCGGGGCTGCCCACGAGGCCCAGCCGCCACCTGCGCAGGTCACCTGCAGAATGAACCCGGCTCTCCCCCTACCTCCGGCCTCCCGGCGGGCGCCACAAGAGGCGCCACAGGCGCAAGGCCCTCGCGACACAGCAGGAGGACCTCGAACTGAGCGGGCGTGGGCGTCACCGTCACCGGCGCCTCCGCCCCGCGGCCGCGGTAATCACCGTGTGTGCATCCTGGCGCGGCTTAGTAGGGTCCCGCCGGCGACAGGCCGGTCCTGGTTCTGGGCCTGGCCTCACCTTGAGCAGGTCCAGCGGGTGTGTGCAGCAGGCGGCCCCGCAGGAGGCCAGCCCCCCGAAGTACCAGCGTGACACGCGAGCCTCGGCTGCCATGGCCCGAAGAATGGACGCCCAGTCCGCTTTACCCCTGCCCGAAGTCGGTCCTGACCCCACTCGACTCGACCCGACACGACCCGAACTCTAGTAGCAGCCGTCGGACTCCTGGTTCAAAGTGCCACGGTGCGCCCGCGCCCCGGGCAGCCAATGCGCCCGCGCGGCCAAGGGGCGGGTCCGCAGGGCCACGCCCCCGACCAAGGGGCCAGCGAGGCCACGCCCCGATGGAGGCGGGCCTGGCGTCTTAAAACCGCGGCGGCGCGGTAGCGCGCTAGCCCTGGAGTCCACGGAAGGGCCATCCTCACCCACTGTGGGCGCACCTCCGGAGGTCACAGGTCACCTGCGCCTAAGAGGTCAGGCTTCTGCCAGCCCCCAGTCCCAGCCGCGGCCTGAATTTGCACGCGACGCTGACTGGGGCGTCGCTCGTATCAAATCAGTGGGGCAACGCATGCTTCGGTAGTAGACTTCCGCCCCCAATCCTGTTAGGCCCAGACGTGGAGGGACGAACCCTCTGTGGGGCCAACTTGCCGATTAAACAGAAACTAAGGGCAAAAGACAGCTGGTTAAGACTAGTTGTGACACAGGCATACACATGCCCAGACACCCTTTGGAGTGCCTGGCCAGCTGCAGCTTAGCTCTGCTGGTAGTGGAGCAGTCACCCATGCAGGACTGGTGGGCTAGGCCTCTGGGAGCACTTAAATATGGCCATACCCAGGGGAGGGCCCCCTCCACTTCATAACCGGAACCAGGACGCTAGGTGTGCCCCAGGCCCTGCCTGCACGGGATGGGCAAGGACCTGTCTTACACTTCTGGCTTGGGGTAGGAGCTGGGGGTGGTGGTGTGCAGAACAACTGCTGAGCACTCAGCGACATCAGCTGTGTAGGAGGCAGAAGACAGGGACGTCCACTGCACGTTTGCCTGGTAGCACTTGGAGAGATGCAGCTCTGTCTTCCAGAACCCTAAGTGGCTCTGGTCCTGAGGTCCTCAACCAGAGGGCTGGGCTGTGGCCTTGATCTGTCTCAGTAATGTTATTCATGCAAACAGCTTCACGTGGAGACTGAGGAAGGCGCACAGAGCATGGCACAGGAAGAAGCACAGGGCAGTGAGAGAAACATGCCCAATGGATTCCAGAGACCCAGAGTGGATGGAGTGGAGGGACCCAGCAGCCAGGAAGCAGAGCGGGCCTTTGAGAAGGGAGCTGCTTCTTCATGGGAATGTCTGGGGAGAGGCGTGGCCTCCTCAGTCAGGCCCACTGAGGCTTCCTCCTGACCTCACCGTCCTTGGTTGTGCCTGTCTGTCTGTGCTGCATTTGGTATGAAACCAATGTCCACCAAGTCCAAGATTACAATATCATGCAACTGGAGGGGACAGTTGCAGCTCATCTCTGTCTGGGTGTGGTATGGCATGTTCCTATAATCCTAGCACATGGGAGACTATGACAAGAGGACAAGTGTGAGGCCAGGCTGAGCTACAGCGAGTTCAATACCGGCCTCTACACAGCACAATATCAAGACCCTAGCTCATTTAAAAAAAAAAAAAAAAAAAAAGAGGGGGGAGGTGACAGAAACCCTGGAGTAAATGGCAGCTAGACGGCCATACCACAATGTCCCCAAGTCTGTGACAGCCCAGCGTGGAGGAAACTTGGGAACCTGCTGCTGGCAGGAAGACTCCGTCTGAGGGAGAAAACCTGCAGCTCCCAGTCAGGACCAGACAGATGAGCACGCAGGCCGAGTAAAGAGGAGTGGGAGCTGAGGTGTAGAACCAGGTGGGAGTGTAGGAAGCGTTCTACCAGCTGAGCTGAGCCGCGATTGTAGCCTGTGACCAGGGTCTGTACAGCACCCTGATGTCCAAATGGTGTAAGAGTGCCCACCACCACCGGGTGCGCGTGGCTGCCAAGCAGCCCCCTTGAGCCCAGAAGGGTACCATCCCAGGATCACGCACTGGTCCTTGCTACCGGAGACCCTAGAGGCCAGGAAGGACGTCCTGAGGGCCAGAGGGGCTGCGCCCCAGCTCCCAAGTCCAGCGCTTTTCCCGGGATCCACAGGGCACCCCTCTCCAGAGGCAGAGTGCTGCTAGAGACTAACTCAAGGAAGTGCATGGCCAGTGAGGCGGAGGCAGGTTTTGCACACGCTGGAGCCCCGCCCAGTGGGAGCGCCCTGGGCACAGTGCCCCCTTGTGGCCGGAGCGTGAAGGTTCCGCTAACGCGGAAACCAAGAGCAGAGGTTGTGCTCCGCGGGACGCTGGTTATGTTCCCTGAAGGGGGCGCTCAAGCGCACTGCCGCCTCCGTCAGGCACAGCCCTAAACTAAAGTCAGGAGCTGGGCCTGGGCCACTGGGGACAAAATGGCACCAGCCCCGCCAGGCTGTGCTGCAGAGGCTCACCGGGGGGGTCCACCGCCAAGCAAGGCCAGCCCCACGGTGATGACGCAGGCTCTACGCATTGAGGGCGCCCAGGCACCACTGTCTCACCTGTGGGAGCTTGGGAGGGACACTGCATGGCCCCAGCCTTGCAGGTAGCCAGTGTGCCCTCCCCTCTTGCAGCAGGCCTGCTGGAGTCAGAGGATCCACTGCCAGCCGCTGGAGCCCGGGCTGCAATGCTGGCCAGCCTAGCTTGGCAGTCTGATCAATGCATGTTACTTTAGCAGTGGGAGATAAGAGATTTGTAATCCCAGTACTTGAAAGGCTGACGCAGGAGGGACACCATGAGTGTGAGGCCAGCCTAAACTACATAGTGCATGAGACCCTGTCTCAAAAACCTAAATAGAACTGGGCACAGTGGCACACGCCTGTAATCCCAGCTCTCAGGAGACTGAGGCAGGCCGATCATTGCAAGTTCAAGACCAGCCTGAGTTACAAAGTGAGTTCAAGGCCAGCCTGAACTGCATTGCAAGACCTTGTCTCAAAAAGACAAACAAAAAACACGATCAAACCAACAAAATCAAAACTCACACCTAAATAAAATAAAATAAGTAACAGTGGCCTCAGGAAGGGGAAGAAAACACCAACAGCCAGATGTGGTGGCACATTCCAATAATCCTAGTACCCTGGGAGGCTGAAGCAGGAGGACTGTAAATTCAAATTCAGTTCAGGAAACTTAGTGACACCCTATCTCAAAACAAAACAAAAAAATGTGGGGGCTGGGGATTTAGCTCAGCGGCATAAGCGCCTGCCTTGCAAGCAGGCAGTCGTGAGTTCGATCCCTGGTACCGATAAAAACGAAAAAAAAGACAAAAAAAAAAAAAAAAAATGTGGCAAGCACGAGGTCCTGAGTTTGACGCTTGGTACCAAAAAAAAAAAAAAAAAAGCTGGTAACTAAACAGGGGGAAACCTCCTATCCAAACCCACTTGGCTGCCTTATACTAGGTCCTGCTGTGCCTTTGGGGACATCACCAGCTGTGGGCCCTACACACAGGGAGCTGAAGAGCATCTGTAGGCCCTCAGCTGGCCCAACTGGGGGGGGGGAGGAGCAAGAGATAAGACTGAGCCTGGGAAGGCCTAGGCCACACCACCACATGACCCATCCGGACAACAGACTCGGACACACCAGCCTCAACAGTGTATTTTCCTCAGCAGCCACCAGAGGAGCAGCACTGACTGGTGACCTCTGGAGGGGCCTGCAGGGCTCCATACTAGCTGCGCTGCCCTCCCTCCCTATCACAATAGGGCTGTCCTGCCCCTCCCAAATGGGCTTGGCCACTAGCGCCTGTCACTCCAACTCTCCAAGTCCCTGTTCAGGAGCCTGGTGCTGGGAGTGGAGTGGGCTGGTGTGGGTGGGCAGGGCCTCACCCAGGTACCAGGGACTCCAGTCTATAAGTCCTTACAGTGGATACTATTCTAGAACCACGGTGCCGCCCACTGCTTCCAGGGCCGCCTTGATCTTTTCAGCCTCGGCTTTGGCGACGTTGGCTTTGATTTCCTGGGGTAGGGACTCCACTAGCTTCTTTGCCTGCCAGAGAAAGCAGAGTCAGGAGTGGGTCCCTGACTGCCCGACTGTGCCCCCACCGCAAGTGCCCAGTGCCTGAGAAAGGTCAGTGCACGCGTGTGGAGAGGGGCCCGGGCACAGCACCCACCTGGACAAGGTTGATACCCTGGATGTAGTTCTTGATCTCCTTAATCAGCTTCACTTTGTCCACAGGCTTTGCCTCTGTCAGGCGCACGGTGAAATGTGTGCGTTCTTTCGGTTTGGGCAGGTCTTCCTCCTCTGCCGCCTTGGGGAGCAGGAATGGGACACAAGGAGAAAGGACAGGTGAGGCCGGCACACTCACTGCTGGGCTGCCCCACTAGAATGTGCAGCAAGGCCAGGTCAGTCCCTGGCTTCTGCCCAGCAAAGCCTAGGCAGCAGATGAGGGTCCCCATGGTCAATCCTGAGACCCTCCAGTGTGTGTCTCCCCTAAGCCCTGGTCACGGCCCAAACTTGGGTCGTTCACCCTCTCGTCTGCTCAGACCTCTCTTTGGTCAGTTGTACTTCTCACTCCTTAAAATCTTAACCTATGAGGCAGAGGTGAGTAATAAAAAAGTCCTGTATAGCTAAAACAGTTATGGGAAAGTAGTGTTACTTAGTTCTCAGAGAAGTACAAGCCCATTCATGTAACTGATAAACACTTTTATTTATTTATTTATTTTAAATTCTTTTTTCTATATTTTCAATAGTGAGATAAACACTTTTTTTTGAGATAGCAGTCCCACTAAGTTGGCAAGCTGATCAAGAGATCTGTCTGCTTCAGCTTCTCCAGTGCCAGGATTACAGGTACATACCACTGCTCCTGCTCCTGACAATGAAGCAGTGGGACCTAGTGCCCCCACAAGTAGTCTGTATGTCCCACAGCCCGGCAGTCTGAGCATGATGCCCATTGGTTTGCGTTGTGCTGCTCTGTAACACAGTCTGGTCTTGAATTCACAATTCCCTGCCTCAGCTTTCTGAGTGTTGATACTACAGGTGTCCCCAGCCTCCTACAAGTTATTAGTGGCACACCATTCATTCACTTCAGATGATGGGTCACACAGTGAACATTACCCTGGTTCTAAGTGTCCAGCCTGAATCTAATCAGTCTCAGTGTACGCATGTGTGTGTCTTGGGGTGCTAGGGATGGAACTTAAGGCCTGGTTCATGCCAGACAGAGACCCCTCCCACTACTAAGTTACACCCTAGCCCAGTAACAGTAAACATTTTAGAGCTTTCACTAATAAACAACTGTTGTGATATGCATACCATAAATTTGCCACCACTCCCATAGCTAATCAGCCTTTAAAACAACCTTCCAGCTGGACATGATGGCACAAGCCTGTAATTTCAGTACCCAGGAGGCTGAGGCAGGACAACTGCAGTGAGTTTGAGCCCAACCCGATCTACATTGTGAGTTCAAGACATGAGATCCTGCTTACAAAAAGACAAAAAACAAAAAACAAAATAAACAAAAAAAGAAAATCCAAGATGGGTGTGGTGGCACACCCCTGTAATCCCAGCAGTCGGGAGGCTAAGGCAGGAGGATCACTGCAAATCTGAGACCAGTTTGGGCTACAAAGTGAGCCCATGGCCAGCCTGAACTGCATAATGAGACCCTGTCTCAAAAAGAAAGAAAAAAAGGAAACTCAACAAAGAAACACCAAAACCAAAACAAACAACCATCTTCCATTTTTAGAAGGGGAGTGTGACATATTTCCTAGATTCTAGAAACATTACCTATCCCCAGTTTAGTGCTCTGGATTCCCCTGTAGGGGAAGCGCGTGGGAGCAGGGACCCAGACAAGAGACTTGCCCCTAAGTGGACAATCAAACATTACAGGTGGTTTCTTTTTGAGACAAGACTTCACTATGCAGTTCAGGCTGGCACTGAACTTTCAGCAAACCTACTGCTTCAGCCTACCAAGATTTCAGATGCCTGGCAGGTTGGCTGGGTTTCTTTTAGGCATCCCAAAACAGCTCCCGGACAGTCAGGAGATGGAGCAGCCCACTGCCTCCCCCTTGCTCCTTCCAGCCCGTCTATGGAGTGGCCTGAGGGCCCCTGTGACTGCCAGCTCCTCTGACTACTTTCTTAACTTCCTCCATGCCACCTCCTTAAATAAGGCTTTCCTTGCAATTCCAACTCTTCAACTTAAAACTTATTTCCTACTTTCTCTCTCTCTCCTTTTTATTTATTTTTACTTTTTGAGATGGGGTTTCACTATACAGTCCAGGCTGCCCCCAAACTCACTTTGTAGTCCGGGCTGGCCTTGAACTCACAGTGATCCTCCTATCTCAGCCTCCTGAGTGCTGGGATTATGGGGCTGTGACACCACACCTGGTTCCATTATTTCCTACTTTTTCAATGTATTTATAACATTTTGTTGGATGCAACTTCTATCACTCTTTAGCTTTCTGTCTACTTCCCTCCATTAGAAACATGTTTTTCATAGGCCCAGCAAGGTCACTGGGGCTGCAGGGAGCCCATGGAGAGAACATGCAGACATGCAACTCTAGGATCCAAGAAAAAGACAAGAGAAATGGGCTCCATCACTGAGTGTAGAGTTGAAGCGGGCACACAGAAATTACCCCTTTCTGCCCAGGACCACAGCTGGGGTTACCTCAGGAGCTGCTGCAGCAGGGACGGCACCAGGCATCATGCTACCCATTGGCATAAGGCCAACATCCTGGATCTTCAACGTTTTCTGCAGGGACAGAGAAGTCTCAGTATACGGCTGTCAGTACCCAAACGTACTCATGGAGCATAAGTTTGGCTTTGTCTTCACACCTGGGAAGTCACAGAAGCTCCTATACCTCATGCCAGTCCCTCATCTGTGCCAACATCTTCCCATTACCTTCAGAAGTTCATTGAGGTCTGAGATCTCCAGGAGCGTAAGGCTGGCGATGTCCTGGACCAACTGTTGGATCTTGGGAGGGTATTCCTTGGGGGCATTATCCAGGGGTGCACTGGCTAGCGCCTCACCCCTTCGGTGGCTACTGCTCCTCAGTTGCCGCGCAGCACAGACATCTGGTACCTGCTGCCTAGTCCCCCCGAAATAGCTGTCAGCCTTGCAAGGTAGAGAGGAGCGCAATTCCCAGGAGGTCCAAGCGCTCCAGTCTATCACCGCCAGGGAGGGAAACCACTTTGTTCTTGGGGCCCAACTAGGGTTTCCAAACTACTTTAGATCCTTCGGAGACCCTCAAAAGCCCAAGTAATTACGTGCAGGAATGCTACCCCCAAACGGCAGGTAAAGTGAACTCATTAAACCAGTGTGAATTATGAAGTCAGACGATTGCCAAACGGGGACCCCCTCTACTGCCTGCACGAGTGGGGCTCTGTCTGTGGAATCTGGGGCTCACTGGGATCCGAGGTTCCAAGGTCGCCTGCGCCAAGCGGCCTTACCAGCGTCCCGTGGGCCGAGCCCGGGAAGGTGGCTGTACGCCCGTCACCCACTCCGCTCCGACCTATCCCAGCCTGCTGGCCCATTCTGGCGCCCAGGACCCCGCGGTACCTGACGAGGCAAAGCGCGGCGCCCCGAAGCCCAAGGCACGGGCCCCACAGGCGGCAGGTAGCCGCCGGTAGCATCTCTCTGCGGGAGGGAAGGTCACACGAGGCTCCGAGCGGAGGGGACGCTCTAGCCGCAAGCAGACGCTCCAGACGGCTGCTCTAGCCGCGAGGCCTCCAGGCATTCGAGCTGGGGAGGGCCTCTCTATCCGCCAAGGCAGCGGAGCATACGAGTAGGGAAGGTCTCTCGACCCGCCCCCTGCACTTTTTCTGACTCGAGATTACCCACAAACCGGCGCGCCGTGCAGGCGCACACGCAGATGTGGGCGGTGTCGGCTGGAAGGTGTTTTTATCTCCCAGCGAGCCCGCCAGGTTTCCGTTTCCGGGGTTGAGCTTGTCCCCCGCTTAGCCGAAGCACTGATCTACTTGGATTCGGCCCGCAGCTAGAGACGCCTAGATGTCCCTGACCCAAAGAGGCGAAGCTGGAACCTCCCAAGAAGTTCATGATTAGCCGGCTCACGCCTGTAATCCCAGCACTCCGGAGGCTGAGGCAGGAGGATTGTTGAGAATTCGAGACCAGCCTGAGCTACAGAGCTCAAGGCCAGCCTGAACTGCCTAGTGAGACCCTGTCTCTGAGCAGAGATCCCAGGTTCGAGCTACAGCCTGGGTCAATTTGGTGAGAGCCAGTCTCGAACCACTAAGGATTGGCGCGGATCTCAGATGCATCCTGAACCAGATAGCATTCTAGAGGCCTGGAGCCCACCTGGTTAGTAAGCAATATGGCACTGCCTCACATGTCCACATGCAAAGACTGGCTTAGCCTGGGGATGATTTGGAGAGCTCTGAGAGAGCAGCAGACTGCCTGCTGTGGCTTGAATGGCGTCACTGAAACCCATCGGGAGGCACTGAGGTGGAAGGTGGATGGGTAGGGTCCATTCATGGGATAGAGGTTGGCTGTAAAAAGCCCATTTGATGTTATCTCTTGGGCATACTGTTATGCCTTGTGATGCTGTGTACCTGATGGGACCTGCAGTGTCCCCGCCTTAAGACAGGCTTCAACAGACAAGGGCCCTTAATTTTGGACCTCCTAATTTCCAGAACTCCGTAATCAATTTCTTGTAGTTTCTTATGGTAATAGAAAATACACCAAGATACTACCTGTGTGAGGCTCTGGACTGGGGACCTACACACCACATCCTATGGCCCAAAGCTAAGTTGGCTGCCCATCCGAAGACTCATACACACTTTGAAATACATTTTATTATCGCTGTTCTGCACCAGAGAGATGACGACGGCTGAGAAGCAGAGAAGCTACAGATGGCTGAAACTTCCACCCTGCTGTGGAGTGATGACCAAGAGGTCCCTGCTGAGGGGCTGGCACCACACCTAGACACCACACCCAACTCTCCGTGGGACAGCAGGCTGTGCTTCTCAAAGGCGCCAACACACAGGGCTGGACAGTTCCCCAAGAAGGTCCTTCCCTTCCACCATCCCTTTCCAAGGCCCAGCCCTGGGGACAAGTCACAGACCACGTCAGGATCAAAGCAGGGAGCCAGTGACAAGCAGCCAGTAGGCTGAGGACAGGAGAGTTGGGACAAGGGCCCACTCCTGGCTCACAGAGAGGGGATACTACAAGGATCAAGGGGAGGAGGTTAGGAAGACACAGGCGGGTTTGGGTGACAGGTAGTGTTACTCGGGATAGCAGTTTCCCTGCCCAGCATCAGTCGAAGGAGATGAGCTGGGCTTCACTGCCTTGTGCTGCTGCAGGCGGCCCCTGCACAGGTGGTTGCTGGGCGACAGGAGCCTGCTGCTGGGGCGGGCCACCAGAGGGCGCCATCTAAGGGGGTAAGCAGACATGGACCTCGGCATCCCTCTGCTGCACATCAGCAAGCTCCCACAGCCTGCTGCTCTAGTGTACAGTGCAAGTAGGCATGTGTCTGTCTAGATCTAAGTTCTGTCTGCTGAGAAGAGGCCTCGAGCATAAATTTGGGAACTGGCCTGAGAAGACTCCGTGGGAATCAGGGACCCACCCTCACCAGTGATGTCTAAGGCTGTCAGGCTGGGCAGGGCTCACCTGCTGGTACACGGGCTGCTGCCCTGCAATGTAGGGCTGCTGCGGTGGCAGAGATGCATCCTGGCCAGGAAGGGTGGTCATGAGATTCTGTGGAGAGTGAAAGAAAGCCTGACCCTGGGAGGCTGGTAGCCTCCAGGAGAGCCCTGAGGACTGTGCTAAGCAGCGGGCTCCTCACCTGCATGCTGTATGGCTGGTAGCCCAGGGAAACCGATTGGCTGCCCACATAGCCCATGGTGCCAGATGGTGGAGGCTGGGAGATGGCTGGGAGGCTCTGTGGGGCCTGGGAAGCCACGTTCTGTGAAGGAAGTGGTGATGTGGGGACCAGGTGTAAGCAGGGCCCAGGGAGGAGGGAAGTGGGCACTCCTACCTGATAGCCTGCGGCTGGGCTGGGCTGGTAGGTGGAGTAGGCAGAGCTAGGGGCAGGTCCAGCCTGGGCCTGGGGGGCCGCCTGTGTCCCCGGAGGCCCTGCTGGGTACATGTAGGCGCTCACCATGTTGGGATCTGCCACAAACAAGAGCCTATTCAGCCACAAGGTGGGAGGTGGGAAGGTGCAAGGCGCACTTCTCTTGAGATTTTCTTTTTCGTAACTTTTAGAGCCAAGCACATTCACATCTCATATTCTCACAAAAGGACAATAAAGTTGGCAGGGATGGGTGTAGACTGTAAGCAGGACAAAATCAACAAATGAACTGTCTGAAAGAACAGATGGTCACACTGAAGGGGCTTGGGACAGCTGACAGCTTGAGTCTGCTGTGCTGCACTTGGATCCATGATCTCAGGCTGAAAAGACTGCAGACCCACATCGAACCCTGGCTGGGGCCCTTCGCAGTGGCCAAGCATTCCAGAAGTGACATTCTGTTACACTAAAAATGAGCAAGTAGACTATAGGTGGGTTACCTGCTGCAGTGCCAGGCATGCTGGGGTAGGGGCTGGTGGCAGGGGCTGGCTGGCTCATGTACACGCTGTGCATAGGGGAGCTCTCCACCGAGCCTGCTGGGCTGAAGGTGCCAGGGAAGCTGGTTGGGCCTGAAGGCTGGTACAGCACACCTCCAGCTGTGGGCATGGCCTGGAGCTGAGGGCAGAGGCAGGGCAGTGAGCTGAATGCAAGGATACATACCTGTCATCCCAGCTTTGCTGCAGGCTCCTGCAGGAAGACAGCAGCAAGGCCTGTTTGTACCACTTAAATTGAGCAAGACTCTGGGTCTCACAAAAAACAAAGCTAGGAATGGTGGCGCACACCTATAATCACAGCACTCAGGAGGCTAAGACAGGGAGGTCTCTGTGAGTTCAAAGCCAACCTCAACTATGTACCAAGATCCTGTTTCAGAAACCAAAAAGGAGCGGAGGAAAGCTTGAGATGCAGCTGTGGTGGAGCATGCATGGGTTTGACCATGTGGTGGAGCATGCATAAACAATAGGTGGCAGTGAGACAAGTCCTTGGGGACAAGGTAGGGAGGGCCACACATGCCTGGGCATAGGGCAGGGGAAAGGCGGGCATCTGAGCACGCATCTGGACAGTCTGCTTCTGCTGCTCCAGGCGCATCTGCCTCTCTTTCTCCTGCTCCTGCAAGCGCTGGATGGCCAGCTGCCTCTGTACCTCCAGGTACTCCTGCACCAAACAAGGTGGTGGTCAGGTGGGCAACACGCAGCCCTTGCAGACAGCCAGCCCTCGCAGTGTGCCTAGCCAGCACTGCACCTGCTTCTTCTGCCGCATGATCTCCAGCTTCTGAGCCAGCTGGATCTGGCGCTGGCGCTCGGCCTCCTCAGCTGCCCGGCGCAGCTTTTCCCGGTGCTCCTCTCGCAGGGCACTCAGTGCCCCCCGCGCATCTCGGATCTGTGCCAACTTGTCCTGCAGCCCTTCATAGTACACTGTGGTCAGACAGAAGGGCAACCTTGGCCATCCAGTATAGACAGGTAGGGTGGCAGAACTGGGCCTCTGTAGTCATCTGGCCCTGGCAATCAGTAAGGCTCAGCCCTCTCAGCAGGGCTTGGGATGGGAGGGGGCAGACACTCCCGTGCCTGGCACCTCAGACCACCACCCACTGAGATCCTCTGGGGGCACCTGTGGCCTCAGTTTGGGTCAGGTAAGGGAACCCAGCTCCTTGGGGTCAGGTCCTGTGTCCCAGGAACAACCAGAGCCCAGCGCCTAAAGCTGCTCATGGAACCCCACATCTGCAGGAGCCGAGGCCCTGCAGGTACATACACCGGCGCTCATCCAGCTGGTTGAGCAGCTCCAGCAGCTGCGGGTGCATGCTGTTGATGGACTGGAAGAGCGAGAGCACGGCCGAGTCATTGGTGATGCTGCGGCCCCGCATGTGGTTGCTCTTCATGCGGTTGACGAAGGTGGTGACAGCATTCTGCAGGGCCTTCAGGAACTGCTCATGGCTTTCTTCCGACTCACCGTTCTGGTATTGCTGCAGGGACACAAATGGGGTGGTCCAACAGCCTCTCCCAGGGCAGGCCCAAGCAGCTTCATGCCTACTCTTCGGAGAGCCTGGAGCAAACAGGTCTACACACAAAGAAATGCGGGCTCTTGTCCACAGCACAGGGACAGCCAGGATGGACCTGCTCTAGAGCTCCCTGCCTTGGCATTACAGCCCTAGTCTGACAGGACAAAGCTCAGAAGCCCCGGGAGAGGCAGGATTTATCTGGATGGGTCTGAGCTGCCCAGAACATCTGGATCCAAACCATAGCCAGAACGACTGGACCCCAGACCACAGCCCCATGCAGCCAGGTTTAGTGGTGCAGAGCCACTACACTGGCCTAGCCAACTGCCCTGCAGCCCTGCCTGCCAGGGCTCCCTGCCCTAAAGAAACCCACAGCCTACCTCACTAAAAGCCGTGCCAGAAGAGGTTATGGGCTGAGTGTCTGTCTCTGGGAGGGGAACCTGGAAGAGAGTAGAGGGTCAGGGGCCCTCCTGCCTGGCCTGGCCCTCCCCTAGGGAGTAGGGACCAGCCCAGAGACAGCGTCACCTCCACGACGCTGGTGGGGACCACATGCCCCTCTCCCGGCTGAGCAGCTGCCTCTGTCAGGGGTGCAGGTGCAGATGGTGTGGGGCTCTTCCGTGCTTCCTCCTGCTTTTTCTCCCAGTAGTTCCGGTTGAGGTACCGCGCGAGCTGCACAGCAACAGGAAGGCATCACTTATGGAGGCCAGGAGG